TCTGTAAAAAATGAAAGGAGATTACATATTCCCATAATGCATAATTAATTTATGGAATTCATCAGCACAAAATACAATGATGCTAGCTACTTGAAGTGGCTTTAAAAACAAAAGGGAAGGTCAATCAATGTCCATTAGTCTTGATGGCTAAAACCTGGATTTTTCTTTTTAGTTGCAGCAGACTCCCGAGTACCAGCTGCTGTGGCGGGGTGGGGTGGGGCAGCGAATATAGAGGAGAAAGGCCCATTATCAGCCTGCTCTGCACGTTAGGAATTTGCCAGGACCATCTGGCTGCTGACTGAGGACAATGTAGTGTTGGACTAAGTCAAGCATAGGTCTGATCCAGCTGAATGAAGGAACAAGTCCCGTTGGCACCAGGTACTGAATTGGGCTCCGAGGCTGGATGTTCTGGTGATTTCCTTCATTAGTCAAGAAGAGGCTGGATTTAGCCCTCAGAAGACTTCAGTTTGGTTGGGTTTAGTTCCCCTTATTCATTTAATTCTTTTACCATGCAAATTGCGGTACTCACCAGAGAGTGACAGTCAAGAGCCTGGAAAGCTGCAAAAACAGGACCTCTTGTTTTTCTCCACAATTAAAGGCAGCACCAATGCTGGTCACGTGTTGAGTTTTTATATATCATTATTTATATATAAGAAGTGAGCCCTCTTTATTTATTTATTAAACTTATGCATCACTCACCTCTCTATTCATGTGACTTTGAGGTATCTTGACTGCGGCAGGATAGGAGACATCCTGTATCAGGCATTGCTGACACTAAAAGTCTGAGACTGTTGGATGGGGAGGGAGAGTTGTCTGTTGATTGAAAACTACAGGATTTTGAATCCTGATGGACAGGTGGGTGGGGGCACTGCAGAGCTGCTTGTACACCAATATGCATAGGTATGCTATGTATATGTATTCATAATCCTCTTTTTAATCTGCATCCTAAATTCCAGGAAGATTGGTATGAAGAAAATTGGGACTATTGCCCCCCAATAAAATAATTCCATACTGCTGCATATTTTTTTTGGGGGGGTTGAATATTGGCATATCAATAGGACAGCATGGAACTATGTAGAGTTGGGTGGTCCTGCCAACTACACCAAGGTGTAACGTAGTGGTATAGGTGTTGGACCAGGAAGCTGGAATTGGTAATACCCATCTGACCCCAGGCTCACTTAGACTCTCAGAATTGACAGAAAGGGCATAGAGAAGACCCTCTGTAAGCCACTCTGAATGCTCAGAAAAAAAGATGTGAAGTAAATGAAAACAACATTTCTTAGAGCTGCAGACTGTATGTAGACTCCTTCCAAATAGAAATGTTCAAAATTTGTCCAAAAACTGCTGAACATTAGTATGTGAAATACTTCCAAGTGTCATTTTGTATAGCAATATTTTTCCCAGGGTAATTGATATGTAGCCTAGAGAAAAATGCCTGCATCATGATCTCTTACATAGTATATATACAGTATATATAAAAACATACTTTTGAGGCTGTTGATAAGATCAGCCAGCAAATAAGGGGAAATCAAGAATGGCTGAAGGAGTTGGAAATATTCTGCTTAGTAAGACTATAATGTCAATAGGCCAGGCTTTATAGTTCTTCATCAAAGTATATTTTTTTTCTGTGCAAGAAATGCCCAATGAAATCTGGAGCATGCAGTCACCTCAAATGATAAAACAGACTATTTTAACACAGATAAAGCTGCATTTGATTAAAGCTGTTTAAAATACAGTACTGACTTCCATGCTTCAATCTCAACACATCTTATATTTCTGGATAGAAAAACTATTTCAGTTGGAGAAGAAAAACAATGAGCAGGCTGGAAGAACAGAGGGCAAAAGATGCTTCCTGCTAGCATTTGTTTGATTATTATGCAACTGCATTTTTCTTTCTAGTGGAAAAGGATCGGAGTTGAATTTGGCATTTTTCAATATTTATGCATAGATTTCACGCAGTGATTGTTAAGACTGCCTGTCTGTATACTTCAGTTAAAAAAAGATGTGTTTTTTTCTACACTGAATCCTGGGATCCATCTTTCTATCCTAATCTGCCTCTGGACCAACATGCAAAATCACTTTGAAGGATGTTCAATGTATTTTTTGTATCTTACAATCAATGTTAAAAAAAACACTGAATTTTGAGTAAAATGGCTTTTTTTTAACAGAACGGTAGTTATACTATAAAGTTGCTGAGGCAGTGTGTATGCATAGCAAGTTATTTCCCTCCTGTTCTCTTTGCCTTCATCGTTTGAATGATGAAATGGGTACCTGAAGAGTTGTCATTATTTTCAGGTCACACAGCCAGTGCCAAGAAAACCTGTACCTGACAAGCTATATATCTGGAGTTTGGGAAAGAAGGCTGAAACAGGCACTTGCCTTTTCACGTTTCCCTTTATTTGTATAGTTGTGTGTGGGAGAGAGAGCACAAAGTGGGACTATTTCAGTTTGGTTCACTGAGATTCATTTTGTTAAGGTTTTCGGAACTCAGATTTGGTGTCTTTTTATTATTCAGTAAATAAATTCATTACATGTACCTTTCCAAATTGCTTGGAATTTAGATGGGAAATGATAATTCCCCAAGCACTTCCAAAAGTATTTATAAATGAAAAGGTTCCATGGGCAGGAACTGGTTCAGCAGGAGAGCTGTCTACTGGGTGTCACGTGGTGGGGCCCAGGAGACCTTTTCCTGGTCCTATGCATTGGAATGTCCTTCCCTCCGAGACTAGGTTAGTCCCAACTCTGCTGGTCTTCTGAAAATTTGGTTTTGTGCCTGGGTATGTGAAGAGCTCATCTTTTGACTTTACTGCTGGTCATTTTATAATGCTCGGCTGCTGTGTTTTTTATATTATGTACCCTAATGGAATAGATGGCATCTATAGTGATCTATGGACAATATATAAATTGAATAAACAAACACATTGTGGTGTGAATGCTGGGCAAAGTATGGCGTCGATAAGAACTGTAGATGTAGTAAACATTTCTTTTTTTTAAAAAAAATAGGGATGGATGTAGAACGTCTGATAGCTTTAGAAATAACAGTTCCATATTGTGGGGGAAATGAAGTTTAACATTATTTATAGTTTCTTTTCAAACATGCAGTTATACTTCTCCAGATCAGGTCAATTCCTTATTATTCCATCCTGCTTTTCAAAACAGTTTTGCTAGGAAGCCAAAGCATCCATATAGCACATAACATGGTGTTAGAGAAAAATATATTCCTGTGGATTCTGTTCTAGGGATACCTGGTGCAGACTTTGGGATATGTATCAAAATTAGGTTGGTATAATGCATGGCTATTGTTTTGTGTGTAAAAAGCTTTATTTCTGAAGTTCCTGGTATAATTGAATGAATATAAATAATCTCAAATAAGCCATATTCAGAAAACGTATCTTTTATTATTAATGTTCATATATTTTTTTCCTCAAAAGTATCTAAGTTATATATATTATCCTTGCTTTAAGTACAAGTATTTCAAACGTGTAGATATGAGTGTATAGTACTGAGTAAACAAGCACAGAAACAAAACAAGAAGAAACAGTAATCAGAAATTACTTGGAAAAATAAGTATCTTGATAAGGTCATGTCATCAAAGTGATAGAGTGACTAATATAAAAAGAGCAGGCTTATTATAAAACATGGTTCCAGACATGTTATGAATAGGTAAATTGTCATGCCACATTTGTTGCATATAGTAGTGATATACATTAGTTACACGCAACTATTGCTGTCAGAGGAATTATGCTCTCAAGGGGAAACTGTTGGTGTATTAGCAGTGACTTGGAGCTAATACAATCTTAACCTTGCGTCAAAATCTATCTGCATTCAAATATACAGATCTCTAGCTGCTTCTGTTAATAAACTCTTTTGCTTCCAGTGTAAGTAGATTTTACAGTAGATTTAGCCTATAGAACTTATACCCTACCTATCCAAATTCAATTCACCTGTCTCTATGTATGAAGGTCCATTAGCGAGATATATAGGTTTACAGGACTGTAGAAATATAAAATATGTCGAGCTCTTTATGGGCTATACTACCGTTTGGTAGAACAGAAATTATGCAGTCTAAATCAGAACAGTACCAGATTACTTCAGCTGCTTTAAAGCAAATTAGTATATATATATATATATATATATATATATATATATATATATATATATATATATATATATATATATATATATATATATATATATATATATTTGTCCCATGCAAGTCTTAACAAAGCCAACTGTGGTCCTGTTCAGAATTGTCTTGAAAGGATGGGAAGGGGGGGGGGGAAGAGAGGGAGAAAGAGAAATCTTCTTGAGTATATGCCAAGTTGACATTTAAATGTGGCAAAGAACATTTATGGAGGCAACCTACCAGCCACTCCCCAAGTTACAAATCTATTATCCCCTTTCCATAGCAAACTCTCCAATTCCTTATTTAAACTAGCTTATACTTGGTAAGTTTAATTTCAGCTGCAAAAGCAACAGTTTTAGGTAAGAATCTCAACTTAAATTTCAAACAAATGCCACTTTTAATATTTATATTCAACCTTAAGAAATTGTAATTATTTAGATTTGTTTTTTTTAAAAAAAGTAAAGCTGTAAGATTTCACATACAGTAGGGGTTGGATCTTGCTTGGCAAAAATCAATTGCTCTTTCCCAAGCTTCTTGGGAAATAAAAACCCAAGAGGCCTAGAATTAGAGACTCTGGGACAATGGACAGCATTCTGACTGCCCCAACAAATATGTCTCTTCCAAAATAACTGAAAGGTAACTCTCACTTTCCTTATGATTCAGCCTCTTATTTCAGACCTATCCTCTAGTCCATACAACTATGCTGAAAGCTGAATTTAATTTCTAATACTTCTTTCTATATTGCTTCAGAGCTTAGGAGTTGCAGCAGATACTCCCTCAACAAAGTTATTCAAAGGCACTGATCTTCAAACTTCTGACTGCAAGAAGGAACCAGTAAAGTCGTATCTAGTCTTATAGGTGTATGGGTGTTTTCTTTTTTAAATGTTTGCAGTCCAGAACAAGCAGTACTGGTCTAGATTTATTTCACTATAGCTAAAATCCCAATACATTTGAACAGGTTAAGAATTAAACTAAATTGTACATCTTTGGAATAATCTCTATTATGATTGCCTTGAACCCTTGTTTCCATTTCTATAGAACTCTTGCTACAGCCATAGTATAACTAGTCTCCCCTTTTTTTAATGCCTATCCCCCTCCCCACACACACACACACTCTGAAGAGACACTTTTGGTCGCCCTTAGTCCTGCTCACGGAATGGTAAATGACTTCCCTTTCAAGCTACAGTAGCTTCTCATATATGGTGGATAGGACCTTTCTTTTGTGCTATGGAACGATCCATAAGATCCATGCTACCAAGAATTAATTCAGGCATGTCACTTTAGGCATCTTGATGATTTGCACACAGAGGCACAAAACAGGCAATTGTTATTCCTACTGAGCTTCTCTTGCAGATTCCTATAATGCATTTGGAATTACAGCTGTGTAGAGATCCATATGTGAAAAGCAAAATGTGATTCAGCGCATGAGTAGGCATGCAAGTAACACCATCACGGCCTCCAAATTTTGCCCATCAACTCCAAATCTCTGCAAACCCTATTAGGCATCTAGTACTTGCATTTTCACTAGAGGAAGGAGTAGAACTTATTAAAATATATCTGGACTGCAGAAATGCAGAATGATCACTATATAACAGCAAAAAGCTATCTATTATTATTTTGCTGCCATTTAATAGTCATTTGCAATTTTGCATCCCAACTACAATTGTTAAAAATAGATTTGGAGCTGCCCATGAAAATACAAAATTATTTTTCAAGGTGGAATGTCAAACTGTGTGAGCAACTCTGTTTTACAGAGGCTTGTGTAAAATCCTTTAATAATGATACTGTGTGATTCTCCCACTCCCAAACTGGAAGATTAGCCAGAGAGAATATTCTAAAAACTGTACCATTAGTATAGTCTTTAGAGTGAGTGCTGGTTTCCAGAAAGATACCTTATTTTCAGGACTGTGTGTAGTATTTTTTTTGCAATGCCTCAAAAAGATCTTATTAAAAATTGGAGCACCTGTTAGAAAACTGATTTTTTTTCCCCCACTGACTTTGGGTTACTTACTAGTGATACTAGTGTCTCTACTACCTGCCAATTAATCTGACTTTCAAATTAATTAATGAATCCACACTTATAAATCAGCAATCACATCCAAATAATTAGGTATAAAATCTTTGATATATTGAAAAGTAAATTATTCACTCTCCTCCAACTTCTCATCTCATCCATCTTAATTTTGGTAATTAAGAACTATGGAGATCTCATGTTTTTACTAATGTTGTATCCTAGCATTCATTAGGCCATATTTTCCTTTCCAATTCACACTGGCCACATCAGTTGTAATATTTGAAGGATACTTGAAATATTACATCTTTCCTACACAGAAAGCACATGCAGGCAACAAAATCACGTGAATACGTGCCTGATGGTTGCAAAAAGGATTACTGATTCTTGGGGAAAATAGCTACCTAGTTCTGTAGAACATCAGGCTTTCTACACAGGAAATTCAGATTTAGAAGTAGCCTGTAAATTGTATTGATCTCATGCAATAAAGGTGTAGTGAGTAGCAATTAAAAAATGGATTATAAGAAAAGACTCACTATTTTACAAGAGTTGATAATATAGAATTTCTTCCACTAAAGAACTCATGAAAATGCTACTTGCTGCATAGCAAATATGTGATTACCATGGGCAGCTCCCTCATGTTTTTCTAGTGTTGCTGTTCTTTATTAAGTAGTTAGTCACAATTAAGGCTGAAACTTCAACATCAGGTGAAATTGAGATTGCACACAGCTGCCTTGTCCCATTCATAAGTGCACCAAGCCTTTATGTCTAGGCTGCAAAACTCTAAATGACCAATAGATGGAAGCAAAGAGATTCAAAAAATCTCTCTGCAGCCTTTTAAAGGTGGCCAAATTGTAGAAGCTCTAAATTCCTTCATGCACATCTCAGTCTTCCACTGTACATGCTATATAATAATTGGCTTTCCTCAACAATTTTCAGCAGTAACCTTCTCTGCTGATTAAGTGCTATTTGGAAGTTTGTCTGTGGCTGCTGAAAAAGCCCTTTTTTCAACCTATCGTTAACTTGCTGCAAAAATTCAAACAGCCTCTCAATGGCAGTAGAGAGTTAGAATTATCTGTATTTCTTTACATTCTTGCAGCAGTTATGTTAGGCCCACTCTTTCTTCCTCCTCTTTGGTTTCCTTGCCTTCCAAGCATCACCAGTGTCTGGCCAACATCTAAGTCAGAGTAGGAGCAGGAATTTGAGAAAAAAGGAGAAGCAGTGCTTACTTATTTCCCAGCTTTCAAGTGGCAAAGGCAGTTCTCTGGCATAAAAGCTATTAGGCAAAGGAATGGCTGCCTTGGCATCTATTCCATATTGTACTCTTTCATCCTCCTTAAGATATCTTTGAACAACCTACAGAAACTTTATATATTATTTTTATTATTTCTCTCTTAAATATAACTTTCAGCTATATACTTTAAGTTATCTGTAACCCAGGGACCAAAAAAGCAGCCCAACTATTTACATTTCTTGCATTGAAAAATGATTTGGCTTCTGGGAGCAGCAACGTATCTTCAAAGCTTTTAAGTCTTCTAGAATCTAGATACATTATTTTACATACTCTCATTTCTCCATGGTGTCAACTCTGGGGCTAAATGTTAATGGTCTGAGTACAAACTACACCCTTTCAAAGTGCAAAACTATGCTGTTTCTATCATCTAATGGTCTCTTCTTTCAAGGCCTGTTGGGGTTTGTATGGGGGAAAACCCTTTGGCCAGATTATCTGGAATATATATTTGAGTATTGTGAGATGTTCTGAATTCCTCAGCTTCCTAATCCTATCTCTATCTGTCAAATACAAGGGTCCTATTAGAAGGCTTGAAAATTTTCAAAGAACAGGAGGGAAGAATTAAAATCTGGCAAGAGTAAAAACAGAATGCTGTGGAAGATGCCAAACTTTGAAACATTCCAAAAATTATTGCAATATAAAAAATTACCTCAGCACCTCAGGAACTCCTTGGGAAAACCAAAAAAACTAGGTTTGGCGAAAGACTGGACAAAGTCCTTTAATACAATGGCACTCCCAGCTGTAAAGTCCACACTAATGTCCTTGCTAGCTCTTTCCTCTGTAGAGTAACTGCTTTAAATGGAGCATGGCATTCTCCTCCCATCCCACGCCAGGTAATACAGCAATTTCTTGTAAAAAATAAGTTAATTCAGGAGCCCCCTATAAGACCTTTCCCCTCAAAGAGAGGCTGTTAAAACAAAAAGAACCCTTCCCAGTATACCCCAACCACCAGACACCGGGTTTCAGAGTGGCTTTTGCTTAGATTGGTGGGCTTCCTCAGCTGCTTTCTGGCCAATCCATGTTTCTATTTCTTTAAAAACAGAAGTAGTCACATCGGGAAGCTCTTTGTGGAGAGCATGGAAGGCTTCGTCATATACCTGCAGGATGCAAGAAAGGAAGTTGAAGACACATTGCAAATTACTTCTGATAGACTATTTTTCCAATATATGCCTTTCTTGCCATTTTAACATGCAATTATGCCTTTCTTGCCATTTAACATGCCACATCTTGTCCTATATCTATCTAATTAACTCAATTTTTAAAGTATTATCTTCAATTAGAAACTAATCTGGACTTTCGTATTTGTAAATTTTAGCTTGTTAGGAAGGTGGATTAATACTTTAGAATATTTTAATCACATACTTTCTCCTAGTGCTCAGATGTACTGGATAACACTGCTAAGCAGCACTAACACAAACTCTTTTTGATCTTTCTTCATTGCAATATTTTTAGTGTCCATGAATTAACACATTGGGGCATAGATGCAGGGATTTCACTGAAGATTGCTCCTTTCATACACATTTATATTTATATTTATAAAACAATGAAAATCCTGTTCATTGCTGGAAGATATATGTATATTTCTCAAATATCTGATTGGTAAAAAAAGTATTATTGAAATATTTTATTCATTGAAACGCCACTAAGTATTTCATGCCCTATTTTGTCTGTTTTGTATATTCCTCCTCTTATGTAAGACACTAAGAAAAAGATAATAACAAGATAATCAACTTTTAAATGTTGCATCTATAACTCTTTTCCATTCCTTCTATCTATGTGTTTTTGACCTGTGACCTTCATTTCCACAGATGTGTAGTTTTTCTAACACCGCCATTATTTTCTCTTTTGATTTGGCATTTCCTTTCTGGAATACCCATTTACTCAGTATACTGACAATAGCCTCTATCCCCAGTGACTCTATGAAAAATAACCTAATCTGTTCCTTATCTACAGAATATATTTTTGTTTATCTACTTAGTTACAGTTATCACCCTGTCTTTTTACATAAATGTCTTCTTATCCCCAAATTTCAAGTAGAATCTATCTTTTGCTAATCCCCTCTAATTGTAAGTAAAAAAATGCACAATTTTTATAATTTACATTTCATCTATTATGTTAGAATTCAGTCATCTCATCCATAAATGTCTACTGTCATGTACATAAGACTGTCTTAAAAATGTACATCGTTCCACCAACTCAAATCTATAAATATTTCTTATAAATAGTAAAGGATGTGGCATAAGGAACGTCTAATCATGTTTCAGAGTTTTATACACAAGAGAAATCCTAAGGAAAATTCCTAAATATATTCTCTGTGATGTTTTCACTGTATCCAGTTGCTCCAGTAGAGATTGGAAAATATCTAACAGAGAACAGTACAAGAGAGTTGGAAGGGACCTTGGAGTTCTTTTAGTTCAGTGTTTTTCAACCTTGACAATTTTAAGGCATGTGGACTTCAACACCCAGAATTCCACAGCCAGCATTGCTGGCTGTGGAATTCTGGGAGTTGAAGTCCACATGCCTTAAAATTGTCAAGGTTGAGAAACACTGTTCTAGTTCAACCCCCTGCTCAAGCAGGAAACTCTATACCATTTCAGACAAAGGGTTATTGTCTATTGGCAATACACAAATTTGAAATAGCCAAGAGGATGGATCCTGCATTTTAAATAATCCCTTTTTTATGTTGTTGTTCAATGCTATTTCCATGTGTAGTTCCGGGCGATCCTTTTATCTACTTCTGATTTAAAAATTATGTGCTAAGGAAAACTAATTAATTAACTCCGTCTTCCTGAAATGCAACTTGCTTCTTTGAATTTTAGGCATTCCTCTGGGCATTTTCACAGAAGTGAGATTTTTACAAATAGCCATTATGCTTTCTATTTTTGAGTGAATGTATCTCATGTTTACGTTCTGCTAAAATCAATGGGATTAATCAACCTAGGAATGGGCTTTGAATTATGATGAATGGAAGAAATTGAAAGTTTTACTTGAATATCATCCCAAAACTTATTTCATCTGGGCCTTCTCAGTACCTGAAAAGCTAAAGCATGCCTATAATCTAGATTTTTTTTAAAATATATCTGCTTAGACTAATACATTTGAATCAATGAACAGAGCACAACTTTAAAAACAGTAACTGTCTGATCCTGCAAAAATGAAATAAGTTAACCTTGAATGTTTTATCCTGACTTGGGGCAGTATCCATCAACAAGTAAGACCCTCGGATGTCGCAGAGTTTGTCCGGTGAACCATGGAGCACCAAGATGGGAAGAAACAGTTTAGGGAGAGAGCGCTCTATTTTGGCAATAGCATTCAGCAGCTGAATGACAAAGGAGACTTTCATGCCACCATGATAAACCAGAGGGTCTGAACGGTAAGTTTCAACCTGTTGGAGTAAAAATAACATTTCAGACATTTTAGCCAGCAAATAATCAACTTCTGATAAGCATTTTCTCTACCATTTTGGAAAATATATTTTTTAAAGAGGATACATGTTAATGGTCACCTACCCATTCACATTTGATTAGGTTGCAAATGCCCTTCCCCTCTGAATTCAGATTTGAAACTTAATTTTTTTTAATTTCAAATGTATGTCAATGTCTGCCAAAAAATTATGTCAAAGCAATTCACAGTACACAGACTGTGAATGGCCAAAAGATGAGTGCTCACTGGTTCAGTGGCAGGAGGGAATCTGACTCTGTAGATCGGGGTAGGGAACTATGGCCCTTTTATGACTTGTGGACTTCAACTCCCAGAATTCCTGAACCAGCCATCTTGGCTCAGGAAGCCTGTGAATTGAAGTCCACAAATCAGAAGGGGGCCAGTTGCTCACCTCAGCTCTAGATCATGCTGTTTAGTCTCGGCCTCTCCACCATGCTTAGAGCACTGCAATTATGTATTATATAGTATTTCCTGCTGCACCAACTATCTACCTGGAGGAATGCCATTATCAAGATCTTCTTTTAACACCAGCTTATGAGAGAGATCAGTTCTTATAAGCAACTTAGTCACCATTAGATCTGGTATATTAATATTAACAACAATGAAAAATTAAACCCTGAAGTATCACCTTTTAGGCATTGGCCCCAGAATAATTTTCTTCTGAAGAGATGAAACAGAGGCTCTAATGCCAAGGGATGGGAAACATTTTGCTCTTGGCATGTCAAACATTCAGAAAATGCCTAACTTGACTCTGCTGGCATGTCACTCCCTCCTCCAAGCCAAGGTTAACGTAAGAGAATTGCTATGTTCACATAATATTACACCCACATTTTGTTCTTGTATGTTATTTGATACACTTTTGTTCCCTTCTTTTTCTTCAGGAAAGATTTTATTTTGCACACACTCTGTCAAGGAAGGGGCAAGGGAGAAAGAAAATTATGCTAACAGTAAAAGTGTAATTTTTTAAAAAATTTTTTTGCAGCAGCCTGACATTTTTCATAGGAGCTCTGACATTTTCACCCAAATCCACTTGCCTTTTCTTTTTCAATTTAAACAAAAATTCTGGGTTCTTCTAGCTACTTAGCAACTAACTCTCGCCTAAAAACTGCCCAGTTGTTTGGTGCTGTGCCACAGCATCTCACACACACAGGCAACATAGCTCCAAGCAGTTTCGTTTACTAAAAAGCAGCAGTTGAAGCACTCTTGAAAGGAAAAAAAAATCACAAAGGAGTGGTGGTTGAATTGACAGACGTTCCCTTTCCACAAAGTAAAATGAATGATAAAAATTGGTATGACATACTCCCTTCACCCACCCCAGTACAAAGCCACAAATGCTAGCTAGGAGATGAGCTTTTTTGTTCTTAACCCCTAACCCTATTTTATACTGATATTTTAAAAACTCTTAGAAATACAAGAGACTCCACAGACGTGCAACTTTTGAAAGTTACTGATCCAAGTATGACATTACATGACTGTCCAAGCAAGGGACAAAGTGAAAGAACAGAAGAAAAATAGCTAGAGGTTACACTTGGTTTTTAATCTCTGATTTGGTATAAACATGAACGTATCTGAAACTGCCAGAAGGTGTTGCAAATTGAGAGCTTCTGGAGAAAGGCTGTGGAGGATAATGATGATTTTAATGAGAGATGCAGGCAGACAATAAAGGACAAGTCAAAGATCTTTCTTTTTGTCACTTTTCTTCTTTTCCAGTTTTCAGTCTGCATTCATTAATTTCGCTAAGCATCATTTGCTCATTTTTGGATACCATTAAGGAACATAGTCCAGATTTTTCATTGAAGTTGTTTTTACATAACTTTAAAAAACCTCAGAACCACAGATTCTCTCTTCATCCAGGCAGGATATCGAGCAGTATGGAATAATTTAATAGTAATATCCATGCTTTGTGTACAGAAGGTCTTTCGTGTTTCTGATCAAAAGTGTATAATCTTCACTTAAAATCTATTTACAGTACAGGTAGTTCTTATTTAGTGACTGCCCTGTACAATGACTGCAATCAATCTGCAACCTCATATAGAGATTGCCAACAAAAAATAACTTTGCAACTAAGCCTCACATTTATGATCTTCACAGGTCATTTCAGCAAAGCTGAAATAAGATCATAAGCACATGCATGGTTTCACTTAGTGATCGCTTCTCTTAGTGGCTGGCTTGTTGGTCCCAATTGTGGTAGCTGAATGAAGGATTACCTGTAGTTATTTGCCATTATTTATCCGACATTTATATTTAAGAATGAGATAATCAGAACTGTACTATATTTTAAATGTGACTCTACCATCCATTAATTTATTTACATAAGTTTCTTTTAATACCCAATCTGCTTTTTTTGTTGCTATAACCCAGTAAATGGAAATTTGCAGTAAGATTTCTGCTGTGACTATCTGGATTCTATTTTGGGTAATTACATCAAGTTTAATTACAGAAAAGTATACATGGTTGATGTTGTTTCACATTTTCTGTTTTTGATTACTTTGGCAACTATAGAATTGCTATATCTACGCTATAAAAATCTGAGCTACCACTAGATGACAGTAAACAGATATATGACTCCTTGTTACAATCTGGCAGGCAGATTTCAGTTTGGATACAATAAATGTAATGCTAATATACATTCTGCTTCTTGACCTGGAAACATGATTTTTAGAATTTATGCAGCACTTTAATGTTCTCTCTAAACTCATATGCATTACACCCTCTCTTTAAAACAAGGAACTATATAGAAGTATATACCAAGAAGGTTAGATAAATAGAAGTATTAATGTAAGAGAAAATTAATCTTATTGTATATAATACAGATAGGGAATTTGGAGAGTGGAGTTGCTCGGACATTACCCCTGAATTGTATCTGAAGAGGGATGAGAGGGAAGAAAGGAGAGGAGAGAGAAAAGAGTAAAGGAGGGGAGAAGGAAGTAGGAAGGTTGGAGGAGAAGAGGAGAAGTGGGGAGAAAGGGGAGGAGAGTGGTGAAAGAAAGAGGAGAGGAAGAAGAGGGAAGAGAAGAAAGGGAGAAAGAAGGTAGAGAAGAAGGAGTGTGGATACAGTGAAAGGGGAAATGGGTGAGCAATACCAAAAGTCATCTGTATGTATTTATTTCATTTTATTAAAAGTATCTTATATATGAGTGTAAAAAGAATGTATGTTAACATCTGATAAATACCACGGTAGATGTATGGGGGAGAGTTTGGAAAAAAAATATTAAAAAAAAAAACAAGGAACTAAATGGTTGCTACATGAACACGTGACTCTCAGAGAAAGGTTGAGAAGACCAGATTGCTGCCCTCTCATTTAGATAAAGTTCTCTTGGGCAGAGTCCTGCACCTGACCAGTCCCCCCCACCACAGGGCAGAGAGATTGCTTAAGCAAGCTATCTTTTCCTGAGCTGCATTTCTCTGCAGTGCAGGCTTCTCTAAAAAATGCTAACCCCCAAGTTAACAAGCTCAGATCTGTGACCTTAATTAGTTCATTAGAACCTTACATCAGGCGGTGTCTGAAAGTGATTAATTTTATACTGAAGGCTTTTGTTGCCAAGTGCACAAAATTTGGTTGTAAATGCACACATTAGTCAGAAAATGTTTTTTTTTAAAAAAATAATGCCATATTTGTCAACATTTGCTCAGTGAGGTAACTGCTAAATGAGAAATAGCTTTATCCTAGTATTTGTTACAATCATAGATTTCTAATGTATAGGTTTCTGCTTTCAGCATATATTGACAAATTACTGCCTCAAGCTTAGTATAACCAGCATAGAGTGTAATTTATATATCTATCTGTATATGTGCAAACATGTATGTAGAAATAGTTATGTTCCATCCAGTCTTGAAGATAACTTCTGTACATTTTATTATTCTCTTTTCAAAAAATACTTTCAGATTTTGTTTTGAGATTTCTAAGATCCCTTTTAGGTCGTATTATCACTTTAGAGCTAATAAAGCTTTTTCAGTCTGATACTCAGTAACATCAGACCATATTTGCCCCACAAGTCGAAATCAATTGTGTCCTTTGGACTTCACTGATGTAGATTATGAGAGTTGTCTTTAATTTAAAACTGCTAATGTAGCATTAGCTTTCTACAGTAACTCTGTATCTCCATGGCAAACCCATGGAGGTATGGACAGGTGAAATGATTATATAAGCTGTTGATTGATAATCTCCCATATTTTACATTTAATTGTTTTTAATTGCTTTAATTTGTTGCTTTATTACTTCTTTTTCTTACTTTTTTTGCTGCTCATTTTTTTTATTTTGTGAGCCACCCAGAGATACATATGTGAGATGCTATATATAAATTAAATAAACAGAGGATGATATATTATCTTTTATTTATTGCATGTGAGACCAAATGAAGATCAAGAGGTCTTTTCCATGATTTTGATAACCTTTGGTGTCATGACTAATTTTTGAAAGAGTTTATTTCCAATTGTACTGGATATTATTTGGTATTACAGGATTTTTATAATATTGCTTGTAGAAATATACACATGAATTTATTATTAATAATATTTAATTGTCTGATAGATCTATATGCTCTTTAAACAAATGAAACTTCTTAAAGTACCATCTTAGCTGTTCCCTGTAGTTGTTATACACATGATGCCTATTCTATATCATCCTGTGACTGGATTAAATCTTGGATATAATAATATTGGTTGCTGTGATATAAAAAGCCAAGTATAATGTCTAAAATTATTCCACCTTATATTCACAGTTTAGGAATTATATTTTGACTGCTCCCCATCTTCAAATTTGGTATACTAATGAAGTTTTTCAGATATTTTTCCATCTAAGAAGAGGCCATCAGTGTGGGGAAGAAGGCTTGATTCAGAATGTCCATCTGTACTATAGTCACATTTAACCATCTGTATGTATCTTTATTCAAGTAGAAATATGATTACAATCTTCGGTTTACAACTGAAACTATAATAAAGAAGTTCTCTCCCTAAGGTAGGCAAGACCAAAAATAATGGTGTCTTACAACAATGCTATCTTACTATCTTATCATCTCATCTTATCTATGGCCTTTTTGGTGGGGGGCTAGTGTGTCCCTGATGTTTCACCCTACAACTCTAAGGAGTTCCATCTCATTTGAATCTCATTAGTGGTAGCTTAAGAATTCTGGAGGGCACCAGATTGGGGAACACTTCTCCAGCACATAACAAAGAATTGAGATTCAGAAGTATGCATCTGATTTAACTAACCAGAAGGAGAAAAAAAATCTTAAAATGTCTCAAATCCTTCTACATTTCAGTTTCTGCTTTAGAAACCAAACTGCTATGAACACAAACAAATCAGGAAATTCTTGGAGACTATCCCAATGATATTTATAGAGACTAGAAATTGGTCTGCTTGATTAATGTATTCAACATGTAAATAGCGGCTGTTCCCAGCACAATCTGAACTTGTATTCTGCAATGTTGAATGTGGGTGATATTAGGAAACTGGAGACTTATTTCTGTCAAACTGCAGATCTTTTACATATTGCTTTTTAGAAGAAAACTAAAAGTAGCAGATAAAATAACATGGTCAAACTTTAGGTTCTTAAATGTCTCAAAAACTGCTCTGTATAGTAGGAGGGTATCTCAAGGTGAATGGCTACTAATACAGTAGTTTATTTACTAATCTGCTTAAAAGATACATCCAAAACCCATTTTACTGTATTACATCATTCAGCTTTGACTATGTATATAATTTCTTGGGCATTTGGCATGGCAGTTTAAATTTTGATAATAATGTAGAAAAATATACAGCTAGGCCTTATATAAAGGCAATGTCATTAGGCTCAACGGACAACTTACTTAATATTCTTAAGGGATTGAGGATGGTAATATAAAGGTGTTCTCAGGAGAAAAACAGAGGAAGGGGAATTGGTGAGAAAAAGTGCATTGTAACACAAAACTGACAACTGACATTCTTCCACCAGGTGTGAGATATAAAGGCAGAATTTGTCACTGCGTGAGTCATATTATTTAATCTATTGATTGATCAATGAGTCAATCTTTTCATTCAGGCGTACCAGCTGATGGACACAACTCCCTCTTCCTAACAACCACCCTGTGAAGCAGACTGGGCTGAAAGAGTGTCTAGACCAGGCATGTCAAACTCGCGACGTCACGTGGTATTGTGCAATGTATTGTGACTTTCCCCCCATTGATAATGGAGATGATGATGATGATGATGATAATAATAATAGTAGTAATAATAATTTCTATTAAATGATCTCTACTTCTCAGTGATCCTGAGAATAAATAGCAGTCATGACATTGTTTCTGAGTTCCTGATACTGATACTTAGGACAGTCGTGTTATATAGCAGAAATGATTTACTGTACTTTCCGGCGTATAAGACGACTTTTGAAAGCATTGAAATTGGCGCCAAAGTCGGGGGTCATCTTATATGCCGAGTCGTCTTATACGCCAGAAATAATGGTAGTTTCTGGCATATAAGATGACCTTCTAGGCATGCGACTTGGCGCCAAAGTCGGGGGTCGTCTTATACGCCAGGTCGCCTTATACGCCGGAATATACGGTATTTCTGCTACATGGATTACTATCCCTCTGTCCTTCAGCTAACTTGTTGGGAGGCAGAATGCTCCTGCTCCTTTTTTTAATTCCACATCAAATCTGTGATAATATCCCCCAGAAAAGGTGCTTTAATTTATCCTCCTGAAATTAATGTTTTGACCTTCACATTAAACATACATATTAAATATAACAGACTGAACATGTTTGAGCATTTTATTCTTACTGCATTACTGGTATTCTGTTTCTATATGGATGTCATACCTTTTTTCAACATTACCATCAGAATTTCATCAGCATACATTAATCTTTAACAGGACTTACCTAGTCTGTAGAATAAAAAAATTAAAAAATAGAAGAAAAATGGCCAACAGGAATACTTCGTGACTACTGAAAAAGTGGAATCTTTAAAATCTGCGTATATTTTTATACTTGGTTAGCCACTGAGACTCTGGTACTTGTAACAGCATACAAGTCCGGTAAATAAATTAAAATGTAAATATAAATTAACACCTACCAATCATATACTCACTGGTGTCATAGAGACCTAAATCATTTAAATGTATTGTAATTCTTCTACAGGAAGCTAAACGCCACATCTTTTCTTCTTTCAAAACAGCGATGGCAAAAACAGTGTTGCAATGATTCATTTTAAGCTTTTCCTCCATTCTCATCAAAACACTTATCTCTATCATAAATGGAAGCTAGTAGGTCATGCAGATTGATGGAATCAGATGTACCTCACAGATTTCACATAAATCCATCAACCAGTACAGACAATCCTTCCTGTAATTTCTTTTCCCTACTTCAGACTGCTGATAAAAATATCTGGAGAGGAGACCATTTCAGTCTCAGTATAATACAGGTAGTCCTTGACTTACAAACATTTGTTTAATGACTGTTACAATGGCACTGAAAAAAGTGACATGCGTTTTTTCACATTTACAACCCATGGTCACATGTTCAAAATTTGGATGCTTACCAACTGATTCATATCTATGCAGTGTCCTAGGGTCATGTGATCACTTTTTGCAACCTTCTAATAAGTAAACTCAATGGGGACGCCAGATTCACTTAACAACCAGGTTATTAATTAACAACTGCAGTGATTCACTTAACAACTGTGGCAAGGAAGGTCATAAAATGGAGCAAATATCTCACTTAGCAACATAAATTTTAGGCTCAATTATGATTGTAAGACAAGGACTACCTGTACTTGATTCTCTCTTTATATGTATTATAGGTATGTTCTATTCCCTTGATATATTCCTTGATTTGTACCAAGATGGAATTGTTCACTTATGATCTACTCATACTGTATGGAAAGAAGCCAAACTATCACAGAGCAATACATTGACTTTCAGGGCAATACAATTCTTACCTCTTTCTTATTCCGGGAAATGACATTTGGGTCAATAGATCCCAGAGACAAGTTTGGCAGGACAAAGTTAAGTATTTTAGCTGCAAATACCTGAGGGAGAAAAATATAATTAGTGTCTTGGATGGCAAGAAAAGAATGATAGCAGACAGTTTTGCAGGTGGCAGAAACTTTTTTTTTTTAGTTTAACCACTATATTATTACTGTATTGCAGCTGAGGATCTGTTCCCGAATGCCAACAAATTTATTCCAAATGTACCAGAGAGGCCAAAAAGATTCTCAGGACTGTTTATAAGGGAAAGCTTCATGCAACTGGCATCAAAACCTCTTTGTCCAACTTTAGGACTCTTACATTTGTTCCTGACAACAAAAAAGGGAAGGAATCCTGGCTGAAGAAGTTGAGAGAAAGCCAGCTTTTCCACTCTTCAAGGGAAGTCAGGGATGTTTGCCAGGGTTCCTTCTTTTTGCTATTCACTTTGTATTTTAGTTTCCTACAGTGAAAATTGTAGCTTATGTGATTTACAGTATAGTTCTTTAAACATGGTAAACACATTCTGTAGCAGGGATACAAATAAATAGAAAAATGTGTACACATTGACTAAAGAGATCTATTGAACAGCTAGTTTCTGGGAGTTAAATAAAAAAATATGAAGACACCAAAGAAGAAAAGAAAATACTTCAAAAATATTCCACTAATAGGATTCTATAACTGACCCCAATGCTAAATTATCTCTGATCTTCTGTAGATTACTTTCTAATTAAATGGTCATCACTTAAAAACAACAAGAGCCAAGAAAATACTCTGCCAGGCCTATTTTAAGGACACATTCATTACTGCATGCAGTAACGTTTCCTGGAAAATGTAAAATGAAATCTGTGACCTTGATTTTTCCATGAATCCATTAAATGTAATAATATCCATAACATTCTCTGATCCTCCTGTATCAAAGATTGCTACAGACTGTGGGAAAATATATTGTATTAATGATGAAAGAATAAAATAAAAGTTCTCCCAGAACAGAAAGTTTCAAAGCTGACACAATTTCAAAGGTCTTTATAGGAAACGCAAGTGATGTTGCCCCTGTCTAGAGAGGGCTATGTTGTGAAATGTAACTGTGGCATCTAATACTCCCTCTAGGACTCTCCAACTTTTTACCAAATTAGATTTTGTTGGTTTAATATCACCAATCTTTTTTCTTCCACTTTGCTGAATATTTAAGCTAATGAAGAGTTCTGTTTCTGATACAGTGAAACTTCATTTTATCAAACCCCAGTTTAGTGGACTTTGAAGACAATGGACAGAACTTTTACCTGACGTAGTGCAGAGGATTTAGGTAAATTAGTATAATTTGTGTGACTTTACATCATCATATGGTAAGCCCAATGACATGAACTGACACAAATGACAAATTATACAATTGGCATAATTACATAAATGACATAAATTTGGATTTAATAGACATTCAGGCTTAATGGACATGCCCTCCTACCTAACGGTCTATTAAACTGATTTTTCCATGTACAAATATTGTCTATTAATTTTTGAATTTTTCAGAATATAAACAGTTTAATTCTTAGCCTATGATTGTTGATATAGCCTACCCAAACATCTTAGGAATCAGGCTAATAGAAAGAATGTGTTATTGAATTAATACCTCACAAATTAATGATAATTATCCATATGGGAGAGATGCCCTCCTCACAAAAATAGCTTATTAATGGAATGTTTGAAAAACAGACTCTGTAATATTCAGCTTTTAAAAACTTAGCCAATCATATCTATGAGATAAAGATATTGCTAATCTTCAGTCCCATCAGCCTTCCTTTCTTAGATACATCTGGAATAAGCAAGATCAGGAGCTAATTTAATGCTCTAATTGTAAGTAGTTATAGTAGTTATTATGCAACAGTTGTCTTACATTTGCTTTGAATTTCATTCATCCAAACCTATCTTAAGCAAAAAGTTTTCATTAAAGCTTGGTAAAGACTAGACTATGTGGCTGTACATCCAGGTTGTTGCTGTTGTTATCATTGTAGTTGCTATCTACATCATTTAAGGGGCAACAATCCAGATTAGGAGCAGGTAGGAGTGAAAATGTAGCTCCTTTCAGTAGCCCTTTAAAGAAGGTTCTTCATGAGCCCAGGGAAAAACTCAGCTACCGTATTTTATGGTGTATAAGATGACTTTCTAAAGTGTGGAAATCGGCGCCGAAGTCCGGGGTCGTCTTATACACCAAGTCGTCTTATATGCCGGAAATTCCGGTAGTTTCTGGCGGATAAGATGACTTTCTAGGCATGGAAATCAGCCCCGAAGTCGGGGGTCATCTTATACGCCGGGTCGCCTTATACACTGGAAAGTACAGTAGTTTAAAGAGTTGCTGACAAAAGAGAGCTGTAATGAGAATCATTGACCAAAAATAGTTTTACAAGTTTTTGCAACACATGGTTTAATAAATAAAGATCTAGGGAGATGGAAATGGAATACAGGTAGTCCTCAAACTATAGCAGTTCATTTAGTGACCATTCGAAGTCACAACGGCACTGAAAAAAGGGACTTATGACCATTTTTCACATTTATGGCCATTGCAGCATCCCCAGGGTCATGTGATTTACATTTGGATGCTTGACAATTGACTTACATTTATGACGGTTGCAGTGCTGCAGAGTCACGTGCTCCCCTTTTGCAACTTTCTGACAAGCAAAGTCAGTGGGGAAACCACACTCACTTAACAACTGTTTTACTAATTTAAGAAATGCAGTGATTCACTTAACAAATGTGGCAAAAAAGGTCATACAACGGGGCAAAACTCACTTAATAACTTTCTCACTAAGCAACATAAATTTGGGGCTCAATTGTGACCGTAAGTTAAGGACTACCTATATACAATACTCTTGTCAGGTCTGCTTAGTTCAGTGGTTCTCAACCTGTGGGTCGGGACCCCATTTGGGGTCGAACGACCATTTCACGGGGGTCGCCAAACAACGCAGTCTGCCATTTTTTTCCCTTTTCCTTAGCTGTACTACTCCCTTTTATTCTATTGGCTTTTGAAAGCCAATAGAATAGACTCTCTTGAATAGAGTCTAATTCTATTGGCTTTCAAAAGCCAATAGGAATTGTCCAGGCTGTCTCTGCCCTGCTGAGCCGGCCAAAAGTCCAATTCTGCAAACAGTGCTGCACCAGTTGAGTAGTCCTCGACTTACGACCGGTTGAGTAGTCCTTGACTTATGACCGGTTGGGGGTCGCGGCATTAAAAATGTTGAGAACCACTGGCTTAGTTGATCTGATTCATCATATTGCACAATATCAGGTAAGGTGATAGTATATGGTATGGGACATACATACATTCAGAAACTATCAAGTGAGGAAATTTCTCCACAATAAAAAATGACTGTAGACTGAGATTAAGCTCCATGAATGAGTCCATACTATTAAGTGATACCAGCTGACTAGCTGTGAGGCTGGTTGTTACTTTTTCCTTCCCATACTTAATAAATCAGCATCACCTGCTTAAAATAATTATTTTTAGAACTGTCTATCGAAGTGAAGCTAAAAATATCGATCACTCTAGTCAAACCAATAGAGGTTGGTACAGAAGCTGAGGTCTCTATAGTTCTAAGAGACCTCCACAAATTGTTACCAGATTGCATTTTTAATATGACTGAAAGGGGAAGTTGATTAAATACAGGAGAGAAGAGCAATCCTATTAACTGCATTCAACTGTGGAAATAATTTTTTGTCTTGGTCCAACCAATTGCATGTTGGAGTGCCGCCCTAGGGATACTCAAAGTGTAAAGAAAGCTGCACACTCTGTGCTAGGTTATGAATTGTTTTAACTATGCCTTCTGAACATGTCACAGGGCTTCATCCATCAAACACCATGGTTTACAAACCACAAAGAGTTCACACGCCAGGCTAAGCAAACTGCATTAAGGCATAGCATAGCATGGGAACTTAGCCAGAGATCATGCATCTGGAAACTGAGGGAACAAAAGCAGCTTCAGAAGAGAGATTTGTCAAAATAAATCTACAGGAAATGGAAAAGGTTAGTGCAAGGTTCTTGCTCTAAATTTCAATTCTGCTTTTTGTGAGGAAAAGGGCATCTTCATTTAGCACTGACCATAGCCTTCTTACACTCAATTTTAGAAAGAGTCTTAAATTCATGTATTTTTAAAAAAGAAAATAGTGCTTTGCCACACATGGAGAGTTTTGGCTGGTGAAAGAAAGCGATATTATCTCAAGATAGTAAGATGTTTAGCCGATATATTTAGATAGCGTGCCTGGAATGAAATGAACACCTGTTTATTTGTTTTTACCTTGATTGGTGTCGCTACATCAGGGCTTGCAACTACTAAAGGAGAAATTAATACCATGCCTGAAAAGTCATTTGGTCTTTCACACGCGGTGAGGATGGCAATGGCTCCTCCCTGAAATGAAAAAGCAAGCAATGGGTTGATGATTGCTAAGACTATTGATCTCAGTAAAGCAGAGGTGGGAAAGTTGTGCAACACTACAACTCTCAGCATGTCTTACCATTGGCATGCTGACCGGAGGGGCAACTGAGCTGGAATTTAGAAATACTTGAAGTGTCATGGCTGCGCTCCCCTCCACCCCACCCCCCAAATAACAAAAAGATATGACAAGCACTTATGGGCAAGTACGTTATCAAGTTTACTGTCTTGGAAACCTTGCCAATTTATTCTGGCAATGAGCTACAACTAAGTTCAATTTCCTTCTGTAACCAGAAAAAGAGAAATTTAGATCAATTCCGTTATCACGTACCACTGATTCCAACCAGCAATATAAAAAAGCAGACAAAAAACTTCAAAGGAACTATGGAGTTGATAAGTTCAGAATTTATGTAATGAATGCAAGTGTGTATCACCTGTGCAATTCACCTGCTGTTGGCAGCAGAGCCTCATGGCAGAGCTTCAAAAGGTGTTTCAATACCATTTCTAGCATTGTACAACACTGGAATACCCAGAAATCCTAGGAATCACAATACACCTATTAGGTTCTTGTTAAAAATGTATTTCTTTATGTATACATTAAATTCATATTTATTATTCCTTTACAAGAAAAATCAAAAATGCCAAAAAGGAATCTTGAAACAGTTTCCCTGCTCCCTCAAACTACAATCAGATTTTTTATAAAATGCAAGAGGAAAGACAGCATTTGTCCAGTGGTATGGGAACAATGGCTCCCGGCATGTCCATAAAGGCCCAAAAACAGAGGAAAAGGAGAAGGCGACCGGAGTAAATCAAGAGATTCACAGTGAGTTAAGGAATGATGCAACTAGAAAGAAGACAATGGCAAGTAAACAGTCTGGCCAAGCTGTGGAATGAAACAGAAGCCAAAGGGAAAGTCAAACTATATCCTGAAGTTAGATTAATTAGACAGTAATATGTGCTTGCATTAAAAATGTATAGTTTAAAGCAAAGAATGATAAAGAACGTTTTTTCCTTACAGAAGAGAAAAATAGCTAATTGGGAAGCAAATTTTAGGACCATTTTTTAAAGTTTTGGATAATCTGGCTAGATGCAAGAAACAAAGGAGTTTGAACAGTGGTGGGATTCAGCTAGTTCGCACCAGTTCAGCAGAAGCAGTAGCTAATTTTTTGTTGAGTTCTGGCCCAGGCCCAGAACTGACTTCTGGGAATGGCATCCACACAGAGAACCAGTTGTTCACACATCTGAATCCCACCACTGAGTTGAAGGCATAACTTTCATCTCTAATAATCTCTTATATCTTATATCTCTCAACTTAATCTCTCAAAACTGGACTGATTCGTTCCAGTTTTGGAGGGATTTATTGACTATTATTTTGCATAGTCATTTTAAAAAAAACGTTCTGAGATTTGTTTGAAGATACTCAGCAAAAATATTAATTTTTCCATGCAAGTCCCCATCGTTATTATACAATGCTCTTTCTTAAACCAAGAGTATATTTTTGAAAAGAAGGAAGTTTCTTCTGAACTGGAAATGATTAACCTGAGCATGAGCAAAGTGATCCTGAGCATTAACAGGAATTTTCACTTAGATCTGGATTTGAATTCAAAGCAAAATGCAATAAGGTTTACAATTACAGATTTCTTGTTGTACTCTCAAATTTAATGAAAATGCATTTGTATATAACTTTAAAAGAAGCAGTAGATAATGTAATTTCCTACAGTGTACCATTTGGCTTTGTTGCATGTTACCATGGGATGTAGCGATAGCTAATGCCTTGATTGTATAGAAGAAAAAAAAGTGTGTGTGTGTGTGTGTGTGTGTGTGTGTGTGTGTAATGTGTATATGTGAAAAGTAGATCATTGGCAATTTCTTGCCTAGCTTTCAATGGGGTTTTTTTGCCTTCAAAAATCCAAATTCTGCTGATAACTAAAACGGATAGAATGAGAAACGAATACGCGTACACTGTATCTCCAGATTACAAGTTGTCACTGATACATTCCACAGCGGTATTAAACTTCAGAGATGATAAACCATTCCTTTAAAGTGAATGACAATTGACTCACACACGCAACCTTTTGTATTTTCATCCCTGACCCTTCTTGACTTTTGTTAACTAGCTTAAAACTTTCAGAACAAGCTATGATTGGGGTTGTACATCCTCTGCAGTAAAAATAAAAATTCTACTCTAAGGTAGCACAAAGTCTACATCATAGAATATTACATGTATTATGAGTAAACAATAACATAACTTTGGGGATACCTTTTATTTTACATGGTTTATTCTTGTATTAAATGATTAAATGATTCAAAGTTGATGAGTAATGATATATCCATTCCCGTATCACAAGCCTGTTCAATGTCCATCTGAGTTCTTGATATACCTTTAGGCATTACCCTTGCTGAATTGTCCACCTATCCTTTCATCTGTTTACATTCCACACAAAATTTGTTCAAGAAAAAAAGGTAGATTTGGGTTGACAGAATTAGTGTTCCTCCCTCTGAAAACATCTCTTTGGTATGTCAAATTTTTACTTTTCTTTTAATTATAACTTTGGATTGTGTGGGCAAACCATCTATAGCAGGGGTGTCAAACTCGCAATGTCACGTGATAGCAGGGGTGTCAAACTCGCAATGTCACGTGACGCGTTGCGATGTATCACAACTTTTTTTCCATTGCCAGCAATGAGGTTTCGCCATGACGCATCTGGCCCGCAGGCCAGCAATTTGACACTGCTGATCTATAGCTATTGGTGCATCCTAAGAATACCCTGCTAAAATTTGGTAGAAAAGACTGATTTCTGTCAATGCAATTTTTCTCCAAGTTTCTGAATGTATAAGGATTGTAAGGATGAATGGGAGTATTTATTATTTATCCAGCCTCCTCAAGGAACTGAAACCTTGGGCCCTGCCCCCTTTTGTGATTTTAATTCACCATCAAAACATCTTCTGTAGCCTTCAGCATTGGAAAGCTGAATTGTGGCTCCCAATCCAGAAGTTCATTTTTGGCTTTCATCTTGCCCATTTCCTTTCCTTTCCCTTTCTTTTCACTGCAAAAATGTATTCCAATGCTATATTCATCCTTCTCTTTAACAATTGAGAATCTTAGAAAATGGGGAAATTCACTCTTAAAATGAATATGGTCCTTAATTGGTATAGAAACATTTTAATCAATATGAATAAGGGGACATACAACACAATCTATTGTCTGTCTGTCTATCTCTGTGCGTATCTGTCTGAAAAAGAACAAACTCTTAGCTTATTTATGGTTTGGGAAAATTATGAGAACAATAATCCTTTTAAAGTCCATTAGAGCATCAGAGAATCTCCAAAACATTTTGTCTTTTACCTTTCTCATATACTGTATACATAAAAACATACATTCGTATCACATCATTCCTTTTTGGGAAAAATAAGAAGGGTATATTTTTCCACTTGTGTTTCTAGAAATTCCAGGCTCGTAGCACTTCAATATTGGAAATAAGCCTTGGGAATGGTGTGTACATCTATAATTTCACATTAGAACTAGAAACTGTGCAGTTTACATTTAGGTGGGCAGCTATTTACAAATAACTCCAATAACATAGCCACTACTTTTGTGAAAATAAAAGAAAAAAGGAAACAAAAAAGGGAAAGGAGAGGAAGCAGAGAAAGAAAAGGCTATAGTAAAAAAAAAAAAAAACCTTCCTGGCACCAGTATTAATTGTTAGACTTCAGAATCCTAATCCAAAATAAACAGCGTCTACTGCTCTATAGGAGGCCAAGGCTCCATGAGGAAGGATAGTGTGCTTACCATGGAGTGCCCCAGAAGAAACATAGGAACACCTGGATGATCCTTCTTCATAAGATCTATGTGCTGCAAGCTGTCTCTGACAAACACGTGAAAGTCAGACACAACCATACGGTCTCCTTCACTTTGCCCATGGCCAACTGTAGAAGGGGAAAAGGAAAAGTGACCTGCCACATCAAAAGTAGTTCATATTTTGCTCTTCTCAGACTTACATATGAAACCCAACCCAGACACAAACATTATATTCTGTTACAGTTTTCTCCCACATGGCACTGTTGAGATATATGCAGGGCCTAATAGAACTGAAATCCAACTCACCAAATTAAGAAAAACTATACTCTATTTACAATGTGTTGTTGTTTTTAACCATTTAGTTCTTGGTGACTTTATAGGCATGTGCTCTCTATGCTACCCCTGTCAAGCACAGCTTCTTTCAGTTGTTTTATATTCAACTTTGCATCAGATTTGATGTTATCAAACTATTGATAATGTTACCTAATTTGGGTAATGAAACGTCTGCAAGAAAACGAGCAAGCTCAGACAGCACTAAGGACCCCTCAGTGTATCCTTTGCTTGCCCCTTCTTCTTGGTCCATTAACCATTCCTAACATCATTGCTTCCTCCAATGAATTTGAACGCATAAGATGGCCAAAGTAAATCAGACCTAGCCTTATGATTTTAGCTTCCAGTGATATGTCTGGTTTTATATCGTTTAACACTTCTCTGTTAATTACTCTAGTTTTCCATGATATACGCAGTAAGTTTCGCCAGCACCACAGTTCAGAGGCATCACTACTTCTTCGATCAGCCATTCTTAGCGTCCATACATAAGGAAGACTAGCCTGCTTTTTGTATTTATCAATATCTCCGTTTTTCCAGATCTTATTCATGTTAACCATTGTGGTGTGTCCTAAATATGTGTTACATTTTATTTCAGGAGTAGAACTGCCACTGTGAACAATTTTGGATCCAAGGGAGATAAATTCTTGAACTAACACAATTTCAGCAATACAAGGTTGAATACAACACTATATTGTAATGCAACAATATACTGTAACACAACAATGTGCTGTACATTATATTAAACTGATTCCAGTATCATTCATCTCCAAGAGTAAAGAACAATAGCATTATGTCTTACTGGTTTACATAAGGCTTAACCCACCTCAAAACTTCACTTAAACTGAGGTGCACTCAGTTTAACTGCACTCCAGTATGCTTTAACTGCACTCCAGTACCCACAGCAAAATGAATGACATTTGATAATGTGCTTTAGAGGCATTTTTTTTTGGTTTTGAAGTAATGGTGGCGGTTTGCCTCATACAGATTTTCCTCTTTGATTCCTACACTTAAACTTCCTCCAAAAATACTAAAAAGAAATTTGGTCACAACCGTTCTAATGAAATACAAAAATAACTGTAGGTAGGCAGGGAGCTGCTATTTGTACTTCCTAGTAGGGCTCTGCGGGAGAAAGTAGTGGGAGCAAGTTATGACCTTCCTGGTCAACCTTCCCATTGGCTTTCCCCTTGTGAGAAGTCAGCAGGAAAGATCACAAATGGTGATCTCGTGACTGTGGAATGCTGCAACTGTTGTAAGTATAAGCTGGTTGCTGACTGCCCATATTATAATCATATGATCCTGTGATGACCAGAACTTCGAGGACTGGGCATAAGTATTGTTTATTCAACACTGTTATAACTTTGAATGATTACTAAACAAGTGATCATAATCTAAGGACTATCTGTAGTCTGATTGTTAATTTCAAATACATGTTTGGTTTAACTTTATGATAGCCAATGCAAATAACATCACTTATATGCAAACGCCTCTCAAGCCACAAGAGCAATGACTTTTGTCTGGGGAACGCTAACCTGTTGAGAATCAAAGATAACACCAAGTCATGGAAGTAGAACTTCCATGTTCCACAACTGAGATTGCCTGAGGCTATAAATGATCACAATCCCTACATAGTTGGGGATCCTTAAGAGGCTTCCAATGTGAGCTGGCTTTAGAACACTCATATGAGGAAATAAGGGTAGAATTCTAAACCTTTTGAGAAATAAAAGATGGTGTTATGTTCACTGCCTGAACAAGAAAGGGGCTATGGGACTAATACTTATACAGTTAAAAGCAGAAAAATAATTATTACCTCCTTCCTTATCTATTTCCAGGAAAGGATTGTTTATTTCATATGCTAGTGAAATTCATCATAATTATCCTTCATAAAATAGAACTAAAGAACAGCAATAGGCACTGATGATCAGCTGATCTGACAAGATGGCCCACTGTCATATTATTGAACCAAAATTATAACTCTGTAATCATTGCAGCATTGATTCTTCAAAGAAAAAATTGCTGAATAGTCAAGCTCAAGATTAGAGGATGGGGTAAAGAAATGCAGAGATTTCTGACATTACTCAGCTGCACATTTTCTTGCCTTTTAATCCAGTTTTCTGCGCTGTAAATGTTTCTTCAATACTGACATTCTGATTTGATCCACCCAACATGATTTGCAATTGGATCAATGTTGAAAGCAGCATGTTGTTTAGGCTAGGAACTATGACTGAGTTAGTGGCTTACTGAGTTAAGAATAATATGGGAACTAGGCTTTTAGTTGAATGCAACATTCCCATCCTGGCGGTGATTAATGCTTCCTTACAGGAGGGGGTAGCACCCCAGCACTTTAACAAGACTGTGGTCCGCCCTCTTCTCAGGAAGCGATTGCTGGGTTCCACCCTTTTGGATAATTTCCAACCTAACTCCAATCTTTCCTTTTTGGGGAAGGTTGTTGAGAAGGTGATTGCAAGGCAGCTCGAGGTTTCTGGATGAGTAGACCCCTACCAGTCAGGATTCAGGATTGAATATGAGACAGAAACGGCATTGCTCATGGTTTTTGATGATCTCTGGTGGGATTGGGATGAGGGTAGTGCATTCATCCTTGCTCTACTTGACCTCTCAGTGGCTTTTGATACCATTGACCATGGTATTCTTCTGAAGCGGCCTCTGGAGATGGGAGTGGGAAATTTGTGCTATCCTTATACACTTCCTTACTCTGTGGCTGTTCTCAGATGAGAGATCCAGTTCTCGCCCACTGCTTTGAGGGGGTCCCGCAGGGCTCAGTACTCTCTCCATTCCTATTCAACATCTATATGAAGCCATTGGGTGAGATCATCCATCACCATGGACTGAGATATCATCAATATGCTGATGATAGTCAGCTGTATATCTCAGCCCCTGGTTAGTTAAGCGATGTTGTGACCTCCCTCTCGCAATGCCTGGAAGCTGTTAGGGGCTGGATGAGGAGCGATGGGTTGAAACTGAATCCTGGCAAGAGCGAGTGGCTCTGGGTTTCGGATTCTTTGGTCCATGGAGAATTGCTACCTTGGATGGTCTTGGATGGGGTGGCACTCCTCCAAACAGACTCAGTGCATCTGATTCCTGCTCAAAGAGCAGGTGGCAGTCGTGGCCAGAAGAGCCTTTGCGCAATTGTGGGTAGTGTACCAGTTATGCTCTTTCCTGGACCAACAATCCCTACTCATGTCCTAATTATCTCCCATCTTGACTATTGTAACGTGCTCTACAAGGGGCTGCCCTTGAAAAGTATCCAGAAGTTCCAGTTGGTGCAAAATGCAGCAGCCCCATGGTTTGTGTAGACCTTGGTGTACACATGGGTTACCATGTAAATATTAATTAGATGCACCTCCTCCAATTTGATTCTGTCCATATGTTCTGGGACTAAAACATGCATTTCATTATCCATAAACAGTACAGATAGTTCTAGACTTATGACCAGGTGCTTAATGACTATTTGAGGTTATGATGGATCCCCAAAAAGGGACTTATAACCTGGTTTCAAAGATATGGCATCTCCCCCCCCCCGCAGTCATGTGACTACCTATTTGGGTAACCACTCCGCATTTATGGCTGTTTGCAGTGCCTCGTCATCATGTGTACAATTTAGGGCACTGTTGCCAAAAACTGGCATTTACTTCTGGATTCTGGCAAAACTTGTCCCATAGTGAACAATGGGCTTGCCTAAATATTGCAATGTTTAATGATCACTGTAAAATGGGTCCAGTCACATGGTGACCCACTTTATGAATGTGACAACATACAACCGTAATTGAGGGGTTCAACTATGGACATAACTTGAGCATTCCCTGTAAATCATCTGGTGAGTATATGCTATATATCTTCTTGAATTACTACTAGTTTTTTTAAAAAATGGATCCCTTTGCAATATAGTGTAATAATAATATAATATAATATAATATAATATAATGTAATAATATAATATAATTGTAATATAAAACAAACTTATTTAATATATGTAAGTTTTAATGTGTTAGATTCTAACACAATTCAACAATTCTTTGCCCTCATACTTTTTAAGGGGAAATAGATATTTCTTATAGAGAAATCTCAATATCTCACAAACAACTACAGTTCTCAAGAATTAAAGTTAGGAGGGCTTTAAACTAAAATTGAGGGGGAAGGGTGATCAATCATTAGAATTTCTAGAACATAAAACCAATCATAAATCCCAAGAAAACAAATCAAACAAAGAGGTGGGAATGATGAGGAAAAAGAAAACAAATCAAACAACAATCAGGAGATCCAGGAAACATACCCATGGACAGACATAATACGGGAGGGTGGGCATGACATATTTGGCATTACAGAAACCTGGTGGGACGAAACCCATGACTGGAATGGACTGATGGATGGATACAAATTGTTCAAAAGAAACAGAACTATAAAAAGAGGAGGGGGAGTTACACTATATGTAAGAGAATACTACATATCTACAGAAATGCACACGATCAAAGATAAAAGCCCTCCAGAATCTATATGGGTCAATATAAAAGGGAAAAAAGTGACATTGCCATAGGGATATACTACAGGCTACCCAACCAATCAGAAGAAATAGATGGACTCTTTGCCAACCAATTAACAAATGTAAGTAGGAAGCATATCACAGTAGTAATGGGAGACTTCAACTACCAGATATCAGCTGGGAGACAAACAGATTCCTAACCAACCTAGCCGACAACTTTGTCATCCAAAAGGTAGCTATACTCGACCTAATTCTTACTAATAGAGAAGAAGTGATAGAGGGAGTTGAAGTTGCCGGAACCTT